TACCTACCGCATTTTTCGTATCCCCCCGGGTCAAATGAATATGGACCGGACCGGCAGGCCGATTTGGCTACCGCGTTAATGGCAGCAACAACTGGTAGGTACTGGTGGTTTGAATTGCTAAGGGAAGCAGACCACAAGTCTCATCCGGAACTCCCGATGACTCGGCGATGAAGTCGGTGGAAGGGGGGGAGGTGCTGCATACCAAATTCGTGCGTGAAAACATGTCCTGGTGTGCTATGATGCTCGTCGGCTTATCAGTGCAGTACTCAAAGATGAGACGATGCCATTCATTGCAATCCAAACGAACGAAGAATGAGTCAAAGGAAGAAAAACAATTAAGGAAAGAAGAAGAAGAAGGAGAAGAAGAAGAAGAAAAAGAAGATAAACACACGTTGGAACACAATGTCATCTCCTCCCTCGTCTCGTGTCGGACATATTACCCCTCCCTCGTCATCACCTTCAACATCTTATTTTATTAGTCTAAAATTATAAATCTAATAATAATAAACAACCGAGGAACGAATGGAATGGACCGCAATCAGTGTCCGATCGCTCTACCCTTTACTGCCAGCCTTGGGAAGAGCCCTCCCTTTTAGCCCCCTTCGCCTTGTTCTACCTGGGCTTGGCAACTGGCTATGGTGGAAGATCCAAGGCTACGGTGGAAGATCCAAGGCAACTGGCTATGGTGGAACATCGAAGGCTCCGTCTGATGTTCAGAGGACAATGCAAATTCTCTCATGTCCTCTCCTTCATCTACCTCCAAGGCTACTCTGCAGGATGAACTCCATACGCAACCGGTACCCGTTCAGGGGCCTTCTTGATGCAGTGCCAACCATGAAGATGAAGATCTAAGTCCACCATAGCCAAAGGTGAGTCTTTTTGCTGCTTCCTACCTCCTACCTCCTTGCTCCTTCCTTAACCTCTACAGCTCCATAGCTCACTCAGCTAGGGATCCATCACCCTAACCTCCTTAGCCCAGAGCTACTTCTATGTCTCTCTACGACACCCCCATAGCCATGGGGGTCTCCACTTTCACCCTCCAGCTCCACATTCAACCTCCAGGAGCTCCGCCAACTTCTTCCTATAGGCAGAGCAGCAACCCCCTCCTCCCTCCCTCCTCCCTCCCTCCTCCCTTCTCTGTCGGGTGAATGCGTGGACGAATCATTGCACCGAACAATACACTCTTACTACCCGGCCTCCAATACCTCTTGTGGCCAGGCACCAGCTGCTGCCTCTACTCAGCCTCCCCTGGTTGGACTACCGTCTTCCCCCGAACATAACGCCTATGTGTTTTATAACTTGTATATTTGAGTTTTTGAAACAAAACTGGTGATTCGAAACGCATGTGTTCTATTCAATATTAGGGCTGTTCATGTAGAACACCTGTGCGATGTATTCGAACAGAAAATAAACTATGTTCCTCCCCTTCGGCGGGAACATCATTTTTGTAGACTGATATATCTACTCTGTGCGATGTATTCGAACAGAAAATAAACTATGTTCCTCCCCTTCGGCGGGAACATCATTTTTGTAGACTGATATATCTACCAATGATTGGAAACACATATGTGCTGTATTCAAATATTAGGGCTGTTCAAATAGAACACGTATGTGTCGTATTTGAATAGAAAATAAACTATAAACTATGTTCCCCCGTTTTGGCGGGATCATCATTGTAGACTGATATATCTACCTACAGACCCTGAACCCAGACTTCTATGGACGGGCCTACATTCATTCGGGCTGAGCGACCTACCAGTCTCCATTCTTTTTTTAATGTTTCTTTTTTCCAGTGTCCATTTTGTGTTTAAGTTCTTTTCTCCTGGTTAGATTTATTCAGTGTCATGACTTGCCCTCCGCCGTATACTGGCTGCCTGGAACCGAATTCGCCTGGCCTACATGGAAGCATTTGCCTGTTTCGATCCTAAATAACGCCATTGTTGTCGCTAAGATCTTTTAAGGAGCAGCCGTGTACAGTTGTAGACTTTGCAAGTTTGTATATGTTGCGGTTTCCACTGCTGCAGTGTCCACTGCTGCAGTTTCCACTGCTGCAGTGTCCACTGTTGCGGTTTCCGCTGCTGCAGTGTTCACTGCTGCAGTTTCCATTGCTCCAGTTTCCACTGCTCCAGTTTCCACTGCTCCAGTTTYCGCTGCTGCAGTTTCTACTGCTGCGGTTTSCACTACTGCAGTTTTCAGTACAACAGTTTCCCTAACTGTACTTCCCCCTACTTTAGTTTTTACCGCTACAGCTTCCTGTCCTGCAGCTCCAATGCAAAGAACATCACGATCTCTCCGACGCTCACGTCCTTTGCTTCAAAATCTTGCCCAGTGCACCCCCCTCTCATCTTTGTCTGTGCTTGGCCGTAGATGACTGCGTTCCTCCTCACCACCCCCGTCTCCTCCACGTTCTCGCTTGCAAACAGACTCTCCAGTTTCCATTGTTCCCATTGTTCCACCTTCGTTGCTAGGTACAAGTTCAGCTTCTGTTTGCAACACCACTACTCCTCTCGTTGTGTATCACCGACGACATCCGCGGCATCGTCACTTGTTCAGGGATCAGCTACCTGTTTCTTTGTCTGCCCCGATTCTCTCTGTGCCGCCTCCACAGGTTGTTGCGGTTCCTTTGTTTCAAACGGCAATATCTGCTCCTATGCCTCCTGCAGACAGTCCAGCTGCCTGCAGGCAGCCACCAGTCCCTACTCAGGATGCAGCCGCTGCCCAGAGTACACTCCCGACTCCAGGTACAGTCCCTACTCAGGATGCAGCCCTAAACGTTGAGGGATTGGAACATGATCTGCCCGGATTGCAGTTGACCCCGCAAGGCGTAGACCACATGGGAGATCTGCAAATGGCTGACCAGCATTGTTCGGATGAACCACAATTTTGTGCTCCGCCGCGCGCAGACCACATGGGTGATCTGCAAATGACTGACCAGCAAACAACCCAACACAGTTTGGGCTTGCAACGCCAGCTGGGTGATCTGCGAATTGTTGGCCAGCATCCAACAAACCAGCCTGAGAACCTCAACAATCTCTGTGGTCTGGCAGCAACTAATATCTGTCTTCACATTCTCCACCGCCCTTTTTATACACCATCAGACTTCCTTGCAATCGCCCTTCAGCTTGATGCTGATCTTCCCCAACGACAGCCAGAGGATTGTAATTATACCAGCGAAGGAGGCTTTACCATTGCTGTGCTATAAGTAGCAATGAGGGACCGTCAACTTGAACTACGCAATGCTCGAGCAGGTGAGTGGTTTAATCCTCCATCCCACATCTCTGCCTGCATTGTGCACGGCCCTGGCCATTACATGGTCATTGTACATGCCTCTGACCACTGGGAGCTGTGGGACAACGGCACCATGGTCCATGCCATGATTGATGTCACCGATTTCTTACAAAATGATGCTGTTTTCTTGCCACAACAAACCGTCCGCAATCTCTTTTATGTCGAAGATCATTCCTCTGGCGCCGTGCTGCAGCAAGATAATGTACCAACACTCTGCGACCTTCTCCTTTGCACAACCACAAACACTGTTACACTCGGCTGTAGCCGCCATCGTCTCTGTCACAATCACTACAATGACATGGTTTCTGCATCCATGTGTGCAGAGGACTGTCCCACCGTTCCTGACTGCAGGCACCCTCCGCATCCGGACACTATATCCATTTTGCGGCCATGGGCGCTATACTGAATGCATGCTCTTTTGTGGTGACCGTTCTTCTTTCATTTTGGCCTGCAATCGACATGCCATTTGTCGGGGGTGTATGGTGGGAATGCTCAATGCCACCCGTCGTCGGCCATAGGTCTTCCATGTGTTCATCCACCTCATCCTTACAATGTATGTCCTCTCTGTCATCAAGGACAGACTCATTCTTGAGCCTTTTCTTATCCTCTTTTGCCTTCATCTTCACTCCACACTCCATACTTTCCCTTACTTTCCCTTTATCGTGCTTTGTTTGTCTGCTCTCCATCTCTCCTCCCTGTGTTTATCCCCTCCCCCTTCACTCTGCCTCTCTCACAGCGTACAAGTGGGCTGTTATGGCAYACGGGGATGGGGGCAGCTCGCGCTCAACTTCATCAACGTGGCGAGCCTTGTACGTTAGAGGCACGGTGAAAGGGGAGTCAAAAGAATAATGAGAAAAATGAATGGTTTCACTGTGCCCTTCATGTTTGTCTTGTTTTTTTGATTTTTTATTTTTGCCGTTTGTTTTGCAAATTGCGCTCTTTTAGTTCATAGTTATGTGACAATATATATGTGACAATATATATCTTAATAATTTTGGCCCATTTTTGCAGAACCACCTCCTTTCTCCCAGATATCTGTTCGTAAAAAAAATGTTCACACCAGATTCCTCCCTCAATGGTGGCCTAAATTTTCTCCCACAGCTGTTCAGTCAACCTGTCTATAGCCGGATACAACGTACTGTCAATGTCGATGTCGCTGTATCTGGACTAAAAGTTGCTAAGAATACAACTGTGGGAGTCGACCTGTCTATAGCCGAATAGAATGTTCTGTGATTATTATCGCAGTGTCTGGTTCTCTATCGGATTCACTGTTGTCACTGTTCTCAAGCACAGTCCACATTTCGTGGCCGGAATAGAATGTACCGGCATTATCCCTGTATGTGGACAGAAAGTTGCACCAAAATACAGCTTTGATGACAGTATACACTATTTCTGTACTGGGCCTCGCCAGAGTTATATATAGTTGTAGGGCGGTTGGTGAAACCAGTCATAATGTGTGCTGGTTTGAGGTTCCCTAAAACTTCCGCGTTTAGTAGTCATCTGAAAAGTTATCTCGCGGCCAGTTTCAGATATGTACACGGAGCCGTGCTGCCAATGTCCGCCCATCGTCGTCCTGTGTCCGTGGTACGCAGGGGTGCGGAGACAGGCGGGCGACGTTGGCGTTGAGCACAGGTCGGCGTGTGATGCATTCCCGGGCCGCGAATCCCAATTGCCTGAGTGGTGTGTGACGCATTCCCAGGCCGCGAAGACAGGTGGGCGACGTCGACGTCGAGCACAAGTCGGCCATGGAGGTGGCTGTTGGTGGTGGCGGCCCTGTGTTGTCTGCTGAGGAGCGGGATGCGGTAGTGCTGGCTGTGACGGCTGTCGTTCTCTGCCCGCAGATCAGCAAAGCATCGCCGGCGCGCCACCCCTTCTCCCTCCGCAAGGCTTCCTTTTAAAAAGAGCTTATTTCACCGCAGCGGCCATGATTATTATAGGTGTGCGAAATGGAATCAAGATATTGTGGAATTGCCCGGCCGTCGATTATACACCACGTTCCCGTGTCGAGAAAGACCCGCAGATCATCTGGATTTTTGTCTTTTTTTTTTCCCCTCTCCATTATTATGGTCGTGGAGTCGGAGTCGGAATGTAGTAAAACTCAGAAATCATCTGGATTTTTGTCTTTTTTTTTCCCCCGCTCCATTATTATGGTCGTGGAGTTGGAGTCGGAATGTAGTGAAACTCCGGCAAAACAGTCTGTCTCTGACCGTTTGTTGTCCTCTTCTCACTCCCTCTTCTCTGCCTACGGTTTACCTGGCAGTTCTGTTTGACGACATATCACACGGTCGGTCGGACGGACGGACGGACGGGCAGACGAATGGATGGACAAATGCTTTTTAAACAGACAAGCATCTACAAGTGGAGCTTTCCATATAGATCATGATATAACTTAATTCTTTCCACTGTTTTAAATCCACCTTTGAACAAAAAGAAACTGAAAAAGGGGGAGAACGTTTTAAGTGCGAAACCAGAGAACTCGATACAGTGAAGGCGTTCTCACATGAAGACTTTGCAGGATGTATGTGACCATGGCCCACGGTTACCTTCTTCACCCAAATGCAATGTATGGTCATTATTGCTGTACTTGGACTGAAATATAAACCCAAATACGGCTATAGTGACCGTACGTTGTATTCTTGTGAAGAAGGTAGAGCCCGCCGTGGATGTACCTTACCACAATTACATCCAGAGCTTCAGTCGGGAAAGGTCGTATTGCGAGGGTGCCCTTAAAAGTTGCCCCAAATACAGCTGTGATGACCCATAGTACTGTCATAATCGCTGTATCTACTTGATACACTGAAGGCGTACTCACGTGATGACTTTCCTGGATGTATGTGGCTGCAATTAGGGCCCGTTGTTGACTTATCTGACCCTAATTACATCCAGAGCTCAGTGCAAAAGGGTCGTAGTGCGAGTGTGCCCTAAACGTTGCCCCAAATACCCAGCTGAAATGTCCGTATGTTCTATGATTATCCATCCACGACACGATCTTGACACGGTGGCCTTACACGAATATCATCGAATTTTGTACCCATAATTGTTTGTTTGTTTGTTTGTTTGTTTGTTTGTTTGTTTGTTTTAATTAAAGTCCAGGGTGTTGTAGAGGCCAATTACCAGGCTCACATTGATCGCCAGAAGCTGTGGCGATCAATGTGAGCCTGAAAAGAGGAGGCTACCACCCATCCCATCCTCACGTCAATACTCCTAGCGCACACCCATAATTGTTCTTTGAAGCAGTTCCTTTCTGTTCATGACCGGAGCGGTTTGGGCGCCAGTTCTTTTTTCCCGGGGTGGGGGGATTTCGTCAAGGTACCGTGGTGGGCTAATATCGCTGTGATGAACCTGGAAGTGGAAGTGGGAGAGGAGAGGGAGGAACACGGGAAAGATAGGGATGGGTGGGGCGAGAACAACAAAAAGAATGAAAGTGGAAGCAGCAGAGGTGGAGTTGAGGATGCATCAATGAGGAGCCCAGTGTTGTGGTAGGCGATCTGACCGAGAGGCGAGGCATGCAAGTCAGGCAGGTCGCTGACGTGTAGCGGGTGTTGAAGGCTTGTAATAGTGAAAAACTATTCCCACTTCTTTTTAACACACAGGAGGAAAATTATTGGAAAGGATGAAGAGATAAAATTATTGCTCACCATCTCGGATGCAGCGGCATTTGCAATCGTAGTTTGCCCTCTCTTTCTTTGTATTCTCTGTGCATGTACCTTCAGAAACACACGGGGCAAAACCGGATGCTGGGAGGAAAAGAAAGGGAAGAAGAAAAAAAAGAGGATGCTAATCGACCCCTGAACAGTGAATACCCTTATGCCCAGTGTTGCATACCCCGACGGTCGGCACCCTTGACTGGTCGGCTGGTCGGCACCTACCGATTGGGGGTCGTCGGCACCTACCGGTTGGGGGTCTTCGGCACCCCGCAAAAAAAAGGAAAAAAAAAGGAAAAATTAAACGAAAAAAAAAAGAAGGGTCCAGAAGTCCCAATACCCCCACCAACACCCCCATACCTGCCTCCAATACCCCCA